TTCACCATCATCATGGTGCTGCCAGGTGGCCCAGTGGTGAGAATCTTTGTTTTCTTGATGTTGAGCTTCAATCCATATTGAAGGCTGCAGTCCTTGACCCTTCTGTAGCAAGCAAGCACTTCAGGTCCTCCTCAGTTTCAGCAAGCAGGATTGTGTCTTCTGCATAATGCAGATTGTTGTTGAGTCTACCTCCAATCTTGATACCACACTTCTCCTCTTGGAGCCCAGCCTCCTGGATAATCTGTTCTGCATATAGATTGAAAAGATATGGAGACAGGACATATACCTGACCTTAATAGCAAATGTTATTTTCCAAAAGAAGTTTTTTCAGGAAAAAAAGTAAAAATTTTTTAAATTTTCTGAATAACTGCCTCATTATACCTTCTTCCTTTGTGTTAACACAGCTTAGTATCGCCTATGTGGGCCATGATTCACTCATTAATGATGACACTGACTTTGGTGTCTTACTTCAACTGATTCATCAAATTACTTATCAGTATTCTTATGCTTTTTAAAGAGAATGATGAAGTGAAGAAATACACCATTAGATTTAAAGCCATAGTTGTTTCTAACTAGAAATTGACGACTTATACAGCTAGTGAATAATGTAGGCATAATTTTAGTTGTGAGTTTCCCTCATCTTCCATCCTTGCTTTGAGGCTGCCTCTCCCTGAGAATAGATGAATGCTTTAATGTTGTCTTGAGGCAAAATTTCTCCTTCAGTCAGTTAAAATTGCCTGCAGGAAAAAACAAACAAACAAACAAACAAAACCAAAAACCAACAAAAATCCCAAACAAACCACCAAACAAAACCAAGAGCAAATAGATGAAGAAGGTACAAAACCATATACTTCCAGTTTACCAATGCATGTAAAGTTGAGTTCTTATTGAAAATGAGTTGAGAAGTCTCCATGCTACACTGGCTGTCATTTGAACATGTGATTTATGACTGACTGGGCTCTGACTTAGATTCCAATAATGTACATAGCACTATGTTTCAAAGTACTGTGCGTTGAATAATTTGCTAGTATTTGCTGACCTTTTAACATTGATTAAACTTGACAAGGGAGCTCTAGTGACCTAGTAGATAAGGAGCTGTGCTGCCAGTCTATAGGCAGGAGGTTCAACTCTACAAGCTGCCCAGCTGAAGAAAGATGGACGGTCTCCTCCTGTGTGATTTACAGCCTCTGGAAACCCACCAGAGGGTCAGCTATGAATTGGTTCTGACCCTATGTCATATAACAACAAAAAGTAGAAATAGTTTGACTAAGATTATTCTTCTTCCCAGTCTACCATCCTAAATAAATATGGTGCCATCAATTAAACTCTGACTTACGGTAACTTCGTAGGTCAGAGTAGAACGGGCATAGGGTTCCCAAGTTGTAATCTTTACAGAAGCAGATTACTTCATCCTTCTCCTTTGGAGCAATTTATAACTTTGAACCATCAACCTTTTGGTTAACAACTAGACCCTTAACCACGATGCTACCAAATCTCCTTACTTTTAAAAAATAAACATCCAGAACGCGAACAGCAAAATGATTTTGCTTTGAAAAGTGGCACTGAGGAATTCATACCTACTCAGACATGACTTAAAAACGAAAGCTCTTCACCAGAATTTATTCAGACAGATAATTTTTTGTATAAATTTTGGTTTTGGGGGTTTTTTAGAGAGTCTTCTCCTTTGAATTTTTCTCATCTACACAGTGAGCACTTGTTCGGCTCAGTAAGACTTAAGCTAAGTCTTGTTCTGAAGTTACTCCCAAGAACATGTTTTTATTGGTGCTATGTGCCATTGAACAGAAACAAAATATGCTCAGGTAAAAATAGTACAGTTGGACTTATTAAGATACTTCTCTGTAATATTTTTAATGTAAAAGAATAATTTTTATTGGCACATGACAGTGGGGTGCCTGGTAGTGGTTCGGTAGAGGAACTAAGAATTATCCACAGAGACCTAAATATTTATTCCCATACCAAAAGGGAAAAAAAAATATAGTTGACAGAGTATGGAAAAAAGAAAATAATATCACATGCAAGCAAAATCCTACTGAAGATTATCCAAAAACGACTGAAACAGTACAACAACAGAGAACTGCCATATAGGCAAGCTGAGTTTAGAAGAGGCTGTGGCGCTAGGGATGTCATATCAAATGTCAAATGTGCAGGGGAGAGGGGGATTAATCATGGGGTAGTACAATTTGATAGGGGCGGGGTGAGGGAAATTGAAAGAATTTGTTCTTAAAAGCAATGTATTAGAATTTTGTAAATAAACTAGTAGAATTTTTTTTTGAGAAATTTTTTTTTAAAAGTCTGATGAATCTTAGCTGAAAGCAGAGAATATCAGAGGAATGTCTATCTGTGTTTCATTGACTATGCAAAGGGATTTGACTTTGTGGGTCACAACAAAATTGTGACTAACCTTGAGATGAATGGGAATCCCAGAACACTTGACTGGCTTATACAAAACCTGTAATTGGGCTAGGAACAGTCTTCAGAACAGAGCAGAGCAAGAAAGCCTGGTTCAAAATCAGGAATGCATGGTTCAAAATCAGGAAAGATATGCATCAGGGATGCATCCTATCTTCATATATTTACAATCTATATGTGGAATACATTATTTGAGAGGCTGGACTTTATGAGAAGAAACGTGGCATCAGTACTGGAGGAAGACTCAACAACCTGCATTATGCAGATGACACAACTTTACTGCTGAGACTGAGGAAGACCTGAAGCACTTGCTGGAGAAAGTCAAGGGCTGCAGCCTTCACTATAGATTGAAACTCAGCATCAAGTAAACAAAGATTCTCACCAGTTGGGCAAATTGGCAGCATCATAAATGGAGAAGAGATTGAGATTGTTAACAGCTTCAGCTCCACAATCAACTCTCTTGGTACCAGCAGACAGGAAATCAAAAGACAAATTGCACTGGGAAAATCTGCTGTCTGGGACCACTCCAGAATACTAAAGAGCAACGATATCAGTTTAGAAACTAAGGAATGCCTGATCCAGGCCATGGTCTTCACAATTACTTGCTATGCATCAGAGAGCAGGACAATGACTAAGGATGATAGAAAGAGAATTGATGCCTTTACACTGTGGTGCTGGAGAAGAGTTTTGAATGTATTATGGGCTGCCAAGAGAATGAACAAGTCTGCTCTGGAGAGGGTGAAACAAAGCTACTCCTTAGAGGCAAGGATTATGAAGTTCAATTTCACATACTTTGGGCATGTGGCCAGGAGAGACCAGTCCTTAGACAGGGACATCATGCTTGAGAAGGTAGAGGAACAGTGCAGGAGAGGAAGACCCCAGATGGGATGGATTGACACAGTAAGTGGAATAATGGGAGTAGGTGTGTCAGAAACAGTGAGATTGGCTCAGGATAAGACAGGGTTCAGAGCTATGGACATAGGGTTGCTAGGAGTTACAGGCGACTCAATGGCACATAACAACAACATGCAGAATGCCTTCCCCAATGTAGACTCCATGGCTCCTTCAAAACAGAAGTCTGCAAGCTGGATCCTGATGGATACTGACAGTCTTCAGTAAATCTCTCAGCCATTCTTAGTCTTAATGAATAGACTCGGGCATTCCTCTGGCTTCATAGTTTTCATTCAAGCATTAGCTTTAGAACCCAGGGCAGTAGCTTCCTCACCCTGGCTCACCTCTTGCTTGCCAGCCGTGCTCTGGAGCACCCTCTGCTGACGGATTCAGTAGAAAATGCAGCTGTGCTTTCATAACAGGATCCCCTACGTCCCCATCACTAAGTGCAGCTGCTCCAGAAGAACAGTGATGCTTCCTTTTCAAGAAACAGTGAATTTCTTCATGCTTTTCTTTAGAATCAAGAAATTGATCATTCACTCAGGGGAATATTACACATCAGAGTAATGCTTTTGTTTTTTACCAATATACCAGTATTGAGATAGTAGGGAGGCTATTTGGGACTGGTAAAACTTTGGTTTTTTATTTCTAAGCATTCAAAAGAGCCCACATGCATTGAATCCACCTGGTTACCTTTTGGATAAATAGAATTGCAAGCATATTCATCAGTCCATTGAGTAGCAACATCAGGTTGGAATACAGACCATTAAAGATTATTTGGTTCACACTTCTTCCTCTTTGCTTTAGGAGCTAGGTTTTGTAAGACTTTATTTTATTCTTTTATTACACTTAATTCAATTATATTAAATTAATCCCATTTTATGTTTATGATGATTCTGATTTTTTTTTTTAAAAAAAAAAACCAAACCGTTACCGCTGAGTTGACTAAGACTTATGGCAACTCGTGTGTGTCAGAGCAGGACTGTGTTTTCACAGAACATCAGACTTTTCTTCCGTGGTGTCCCTGGGTGGACTAAACCCTTCAACCTTTCAAACAGCAACTAGGTTCTGTTTATACCACCAGCGAACTTGACTCTATTTAAGGTTGGGGTTATATTAATTCTCATTCTACAAGGGTTTTCACCTCCAAAACCATGGCTGAGCTTATTCCATTCTGGGTGATTTGACTCCATTCTTGCTTCTAGGAGTGAAAGCTTGTGCACATCCAGCCACTCACTCATGTGTCTTTCTTCTTGTGACCTGTATTCACCTTTGTAAGACACCTACTAGGGTTTAAGAAGAAAAGTGATACCTGAAGAATGGAAGGACTGCTGTCAAGCTGGTGATTTATTTGATAATGTTGATGTTCTCTATACATAACCTCATAGACTCAGATATTTTGGAAAGAGACAGGGTATTGCTCAACCCAAGCATTTCTAGCAGTTGGTTAACTAATTTTTGTTGGGGTGCTTTGATACACGAAGGGAAAGATTTCTCTTCCTCCTTTTTGGACAACATATTAGTAGAACTTTTAAGGTGAATTCTAACTTTCCACCCTCACTCTTGGAATTGTTAAGCTTTGCTATGGATTTGAAGTGAGAAATTATTTGGGGCTAATATATTTGGTGGTGGGCCCTGATTGAACTTTTCCTAACCCTGAACTCTCTTGTCTGTTACAGCAAAGAGATGTGTGACCAGCAGAATGCTTTCACCATGTGTCCCCTGTGTGACAAATCCTGTGACTACTGGAACCTCAGCTCAGCCTGTGGGACAGCACGGGCCAGCCACCTGTTTGACAATCCAGCCACAGTCTTCTTCTCCATCTTCATGGCTCTGTGGGGTTAGTAATCATTGTGAGGCTTGTTCATTTAAGATTGACCTTTAAACTGGTACAGTGACTAACTTCTAAATGCCTTTCCTTCTGATTACTTCTTTTAGTATCTTGTCTTTATTTTCCAAGAACTTATTTAGGGGCAATAGAATTTCCTTCACTATTTATATTTACTCATGTCAACTGAGTAGGAATCTCCTGTAATTTTCTCCATTTCCCCCCTAGATATTTAATGTTAATGTGTACCAACTTCATGTATGAGTTGTTTAGAATTTGAGTTAAAGTGTACTCTCATTTTGAACTTGACTGAGCATTTGCAAGGTACACTTATTTGTCATGTAGAATCATAGAGATCACCTAGAGCAAGATTCAGACTAATCGGAAGTGACTGCTGTAGTTGTTATTGTTAAGTGCCATTGTGCTGAGTAAGACTCATAGTGACTCTATGCACATCAGATCTGAATCTGGTCCTATCCTGTGCCATCCTCATGATGTCTGACACATGTAAGCCCATTGCTGCTGTCACAGTGAAATCCATCTAATTGGTAGTTCCTTGTTTGCTGACTCTTCACATTTCCAAGCATGATGTTCCTTTCCAAGAAATAGCCTCTCCTAGCATTGTGCCCAAAATATGCTTGAAGAACTTCACCATCCTTGCCTTCAGGGAGCGTGTTGGTTACACTTCTTCCAGGATATATGTTTGTTCTATTGTCAGTCCATAGGATAATCAGTGTTCTTCTCCAGCACCATAGCTCAAACACATCCATTCTTCTAGCTCTAAGCATAAGAAGTGATTGAAAAGACCATGGCCTGAATCAGGCACAACTTAGTCTTCAAACTGAACTCATTGCTCTTCAGTAATTTGGAGAGATCCCTGACTTCAGACTTTCCCATTGCAGTGCATTCCCTCAACTCCTGACTGCTGATACCAGCACTGTTGTTTGTGGATCCAAGTACAATGAAATCACTAGTAATTTAAATCTTTTCCCATCTATCATGATGGAAAATAGAAAAGAGTTCCATTCATTTCCTTCCTCCATTACCTCCTGCAGAGGATCAGAGTAATAAAGTTTCTCTAAAGCTAAGCTATCTGACACCCATGTACACATGCGCGCGCGCGCGCGCGCACACACACACACACACACACACACACACGGTTACTCATTCGTATTCTCTCAATTAAGAGAAATAATCTCACGTTTATTCTTAGAAAAGAAAAGAAAAAGACGTATTATCTAAAGGACCAAGTCAGTGTGTTCTAACACATCTTGAATTGTTGACTGCATTTCACTCCCAATTTCCTTATCACTGGGTGCAGGAACTTTGTTTTCCCATTGGACCACAGGCCTCTAGAACCGCTGTCATGCTGCAGGGGTGACTGGATTTATCACTGGCTCCATGGGGTCTGGAGGACATGCCAGGATGGGGTCATGAGTCATACTTCCTGTGAGTATGAGAAGGCCGAGGAGAAAGGGAGAGGCCTGTTCTCGGCAGCGCTGGGACAACTGGAACATAACCTTTCTCCATTCCCTGTAGGGCCCTTGACTTGGGTGGAGGACAAATGAAACTGGAAAAATTCCCATGTTGCTAGAGCACTGAAGAAACATTTCAGAGGACCCTCTGTTCCTAAGGAGAGCTGCTTCCCAGAGGCACATGGGCAGTGCTCAGCTCATAAAAAGTTAAGACGGGAGAAATGAAAGTCACAAACATAAAGCAATGGAGTCAAAAGTTATTTAGAGGGAGGATTAATAGAATGAATTGGAACATGCTGACTGGAGAATCAGAGGCAGCTCCATGTCTCCTTATCAAGCAAAATCATCTTGCTGTTAACCCATTTGAACTCATTTGGAATGTTATTCGATGTGCCGTTGAGTTGCCTGCGACTCATAGTGACCCTATGTACAACAGCCCTAAACCCTGCTCGATCCTGTGCCAATCTTATTGCCTCCGACATGCCTATCCTCATTACCCCAGTCACTGAATCAATCCATCTCATCGAGGGTCTTCCTCTCCTGTGCTGTCCCTCCACCCTACCAAGCATGACATCCTTCTGCAAGGACTGATCCTGCCTTGCAGCATGCCCAAAGTATGTCAGATGGAGCTTCAGAATCCTTGCCTCCAAGGAGCAGCCTGGCTTCACCCTTTCCAGAATGAACTTGTTTATTCTCTTAGCAGTCCATGGTACACTCAATACTCTTCTCCAGCACCATAGATCAAAGGCATCAACTCACTTTCTATCATCCCTGGTCATTGTCCAGCTCTCTGATACATAGCAAGTAATTGCAAAGACCATGGCCTGGATCAGGTGCACCTTAGTCTCCAAACTGACATCATTGCTCTTCAGTACTTTGGAGAGGTCTCTGACAGCAGACTTTCCCAATGCAATTTGTCTTTTCATTTCCTAGCTGCTGGTACCAAGAATGTATGTTAACTGTAGAGCCAAACAAACTGAAGCTGTCAACAATATCAATCCCATTTGGAATATACATCATCTATACAATTAAAGCTCTAGCTCCTATTAATTTATTTTGCAAATATTACTACTATTGAATTCCTAGAAGCTTAATAACTTAAGGAGTCCCTGGTTCCTTAAGAACTTCCTTGAGACACATAATCCTTTATTATAGAGCAACTTGGTTTCCAATTGTACTTTCCTAGTTTTCAAGCCTCAACAACTATCTCTTCTCTCTTCTCCATAACTATAATGAACAGACACCTCCCACCCTTCTAAGGTCCTCCATAATTTACTGCTCCTCCTTCTTTCATATACAAAAGGATGGGATTGTGTCAGAGCTTCCTGGCAAAGGATAGGGTTTGGTTTAGTCTTTTTAACAGTCTTGCTTTATTTTATATGATTGTGTATTTGGTTATATCAGCCAAGAACCCCTAGGCATGAATTGCCTACAAATTAGAATTAAAAATAATGGTAATGCCTTTTATTACCATGATTATTATGATTAGTGGTGCTCTACTAGGTGGGCCTGCGCCAGGGCTCAGTCCTGCCAGAAATAAAACCAGAAAGAAGCTAAATAGTTCCATGTGGTGATAGATCAGATAGTAGGTGGTGGCTGGAATGGTGGGGGGTAGTGGTGGTATGAATAGTCAGTGCTGGTTAGTAAGACCTGAATATGTTGGAATCTTCAGGAGCAGCTTCCATGCAGTTCTAGCTTCAAATACCAGAGAACTTTACATTTGAGGAAAAGAATGAAGACCTAGTGAAAAGGGAAGTGAAGAGGTCAAGTTTCTGAATTTTATTCTGAATAGAAGTTGAAGATAGCAGATTAGGGATCAGGCAGTAGTCAATATCTATCTCTGTCCCGCTTCCTACCATCTGTGGGCCTCATAGAAAGTATGGACCTAGCTCTGTGTCACTAAATACAGTCCTCAAGTTAAGATACCGTGCTGCCTTGGGCTCATGACCAAATCACTGTTCTCATCTGGAAAATGAATGAAAGAATACCTATCCCGGATTGTTCTCATAACAAGAGAATGAGATATGCATGCCATGCACTTATCATAGTACCACACATGTAGCATGCACTCAGAACCGTGAGCTGTTTTTATTATTAGGATAGGTCTTCCTTGCCCTCATGATTTCATCTGTACCTTTCATCTGTTCCCATCATCTGGCTTTTCCCTCTTTAAATAGAACTCAGGCAACAAATACTCTTTAATTACCATTGGGTGCAGATTTGAGACAAGGAGGAATGTTCCCTCTGTCCTCAGAGCATCCCTAGTCCAGTGTTGGTGTCAGAAGGCCAGGATGGCCCTATGTGAAAAAGACATAAATCCAAGGAACACAAACATAGCATTGCTAAGTACATACTCAGATTTCCTGTAAGCATTAATTATGCTCTGTCTTATGCTGGTCTTGAAGTAAACAGCCAGAATCTGGCCATCATCTCTGAAGGGTTTGCATCCTTTTACTACAGTGTCGACCCTGAATACAGCTGACAAGGCTGGTGTACACTGAAGTGTTGCAGAGGCTGCTCAGGTTCTTATCAGAGGTGGAATGTTGTTGTTAGGTGCTATTGAGTCAACCGTGACTCATAGCAACCCTGTGAACAATGGATTTGAAGTTTGCCCTAACCTGTGCCGGCCTCATCTTCTCTGGCACCGTATCTCTGGCATAGCATGTCAATCCATCTCATCGTAGAGGTTCACTTTTGACAAAGAAGTGAGACTTAAACTGAAACCGGAAAAGATTCAGGTAGCAATTGATGAATGGGATAGGGGAGGAGAGCAATTGCAAAAGCTGAGTATGAAGATGATAGGGAGGAGGTTATCTCAACAGCAAAGCAAGTGTGGAGTGTGAATTGGGTGGGGGGGGAAATGAGAGTAGATTTGCATAGGTGAGTCAGGTCAGAGAGGAACGGTCTCGATATCCAACAAGAAGAACTTGGAATCTAACTTAACCAATTCATAGCTGACTCTCCAGTGGTTCTAAATCACCTGGCAGGAGTGTGCATCTTTCTCCTGCAGAGCAACTAGTGGATTCAAACTGCCTGCCTTTGGGTTGGCAGTATAACTCTTTTTTAAATTTTTTTATTATTTTTATTTTTTATTTAAATTGATTATTAATTTCAGTAAAAATTTACGGAGACTGGATTTCCATTCATTCATTGTTGTTCACTTTTCTCCCCTCCTAACCTTCCCCCCTAGTACACTACCCTCTTGGAAAAGTAAAATTCTTTCATTGTTTTACAAACCCTCCCCCAGGTCCACCCTACCATGTAGCCTTCGCTCTAGACTCCTGTCATGACAAAAATACCTCATCACATATCCCTTTTAAACAGTTTTCTCTCTCATCTGTTTCAATGCAGTATACATTATTGAACCCTTCTTTCTCAGTCCCTCCCCAACCCCAAGGTCAGTCCTGTTTTACAACAGTGACACCATGCAGTATTTATCCTTTTGTCACTGAGATACTTCACTCAGCATGTCCTCCAGAGTCACCCATTTTGAATAATATTGCATGAGTTCCTTGTTTTTCAATGCAGCATAGTATTTCATTGTTTGAATATACAACAGCTTCTCTATCCATTCGTTTGTTGATGGGCACTTAGGTTGTTTCCAACTCCTTGCTATTGTGAACAAAGCCATGATAAACATGGGTATGCATATATCTGCTTGGGTGGCAGTTATGGTCTCTTTAGGGTATATCCCAGTAGTGGAATTGCTGGGTCAAAT